TACCTCCCCTCTGTCTCTCTCTCTCTCTATCTCTACCTCCCCTCTTGTGTCTCTCTCTCTCTTCTACTCACCTCCCCTCTGTCTCTCTCTCTCTCTCTATCTCTACCTCCCCTCTGTCTCTCTCTCTCTCTCTCTATCTCTACCTCCCCTCTGTCTCTCTCTCTCTCTCTCTATCTCTACCTCCCCTCTGTCTCTCTCTCTCTCTCTATCTCTACCTCCCCTCTGTCTCTCTCTCTCTCTCTATCTCTACCTCCCCTCTGTCTCTCTCTCTCTCTCTATCGCTACCTCCCCTCTGTCTCTCTCTCTCTCTCTCTCTCTATCTCTACCTCCCCTCTTTCTCTCTCTTTCTCCCTCTCACCATCCCGCTTTTTCTCTCCTTCCCTCCCACTCTCTCTCTTTCTTTTACCTACCCACTCTCTCTCTCCTCTCTCTCTTCTCTCTCTCTCTCTCTCTCTCTCTCTCTCTCTCTCTCTCTCTCTCTCTCTCTCTCTCTCTCTCCCTTCTTTCTTCCCTCATGCAAACATGCACACAGATATGCATGTATGCATGCATGTACAAACGCACCCATGCACACACACACACACACACACACACACACACACACACACACACACACACACACACACACACACACACGTACACACACACACACGTACACACACACACGTACACACACACACACACGTACACACACACACACACACGTACACACACACACACACACGTACACACACACACACACTTACACACACACACACACTTACACACACACATGTACACACACACACACACGTACACACACACATGCACACACGCATGCACGCAGAAGCACAAGCATAAACAGAAACACACACATACAACCATGCAACCGCACATTATATGCTATCACACACACACGCAAAAGTCAATAAAAAACAACATAAATCAATACACCAATATTCACAGCAGCACATCTATATAAACAAAAAAATTATTGTACACAATTGGGCAAAGACTCCCCTGCAATCAACCACTATAAAACAAGATAATATATATGAATATTGCAGGAAACCATTTTCAATGGATCTCTTCTAGCAAGACCAGAATGAATATCTCACTAATAAACATTCACGAATATAAATGCTGTAACTACATGTAACGTCCATAAATTTTGCTATTCTACACTATAGTCAACAAGTTTATTTATGACTATGCCTCATATTGTTTAATAAAATGCGTGTATGCTGAAGAAGAATTAATACCTATATTAGTGAAATCAAGCATTTTCCAAATTTGTGTCCTATGTTTATCTTTTGAGAAACAAAACAGTTATTTCCAGTTCAGCAATTTTCCGTGTTTTGTCTTGGGCGCCCGACATGAAGATGGAGCCAAGCGTCCCCACATTCTTTTCCTGACGCTATTTTCTTTCAGGTGTCCAAATAAATCCCTCGTGCCAATCCCAAAGGCTGCATGGAGCTATGCCCACGCTTAAGTTTAGCACAACGCGTTCATTATCACATAAATTAAAGCTACGTAATGCCGGTTCGCTCCAACTTGAAATCCACTGGGAGTCAACGGCCTACAATTTCTCGCTATTTTATTCATTTTTCGATCAACTTATGAGACATTTGTGTGTAATTTTACCAACGTTGATGTTTAAAGGTTCTTACCTTAAGTAATAGAAGACACCCCCATATCTCTTGGTGTAGAAATTCGAGGAAACAAAATCACCACCACTAGTTCCAAAACATAAACAAACAAGCCATTATGAGTAACTCGGACGATGCCCGTCAGATGTCACGTTCATCTCTCGCTCGCGTTTTCTTTGATTGAAATTTGAAATATCTCTGCGCCAGCGCGATTCGTCTGCTATTTTTGGAAGCAGCACTTTAAATTAGAATATTTATGTTGACGTTTTTATGACATGGTATGAGACTTTCTAGTTTTCAAATGGACAAAGCATTGTTGTCCAGCCGACCCATCACCATGACAACCAGCGAGCGGGCAGACGCCTCTCCTTCGCTATGAGTGCCGGACTGCTGCAGCAAGAAAACCCCATAAAACTCAGCACAGATGGAGAAGAAGTTGAACGAACAGCCGATGAATCTGTGAGTTATCTCAATGTCTAAATTAGTGACAAAATAGGTTTACTCTGTGCATCAACCTTAATCAGGGATATTAGATCACTCAATATAAAACATTCCCTGTACTTACGTTACTCCATGTTAGTAAATAACATTATAATGAGCGTGTTGTTTAATTTAACTTGTAGTAACAACGATAATTGAAAAAGTTGCAACAGCAGTAATGAATTTCGCTTACAGGTACCGGTCTCGCACGAAACTTATTTTTTTATGAACACATCGAAGATTTCTTGCTGTTGATTGATTTTACAGATTCGTAAAGAAATGTGGATAAAATTTTTACCTAAGCATTTACAGAACCATGCTACAGGAAGACATCAGGGCCGACACACATATTTATCTATGTATAACTCTCTCTCTCTCTCTCCCTTTCTGCCCCCCCCTCTCTCTCTCTCTCTCTCCATCTTTCTCCCTCTCTCTCTCTTTCTCCCTCTCTCTCTCTTTCTCCCTCTCTCTCCCTTTCTCCCTCTCTCTCCCTTTCTCTCTCTCTCTCCCTTTCTCTCTCTCTCTCTCTCTCTCTCTCTCTCTCTCTCTCTCTCTCTCTCTCTCTCTCTCTCTCTCTCTCTCTCTCTCCCTTTCTTTTTCTCTCTCCATTTCACTCCTTTTCTCTTCCTCTCACCATTTTCTCTCTCTCTCTCTCTCTCTCTCTCTCTCTCTCTCTCTCTCTCTCTCTCTCTCTCTCCATATATATATATACATATATAAATATATATACATATATATATATATATATTATATATATATATATAAAGAGAGATGTATATGCATATATATATATAAATAAATAATATACATATACACACACACACATATATATATATATATATATATATATAATATATATATATATATATATATATTATTATATACATATATATATATATATGTATATACATATATATAATATATGTACACATATATATATATATATTATGCATATATATATATAATATATATATATATATAATATATATATTATATATATATATATATATATATATATATATATATATATATACAAGCTTCGCGCTTCAATTTTTTAACTAGCACACCGGGCTAGTAAATAGTGTTTTTTTACTAGCCCGCAGCAAGTTTTACTAACCCCAGTATTGAATTTAACACAAGATTAATCAAACCCTGTCGTGCACGGCTCGATAGCGTAGTGTGCTGCCTGCCCGCGTGCATTTCACTAGCCCGCGGCTGGTTTACTAGATAATGACCGAGCCCTGTATGACTGTATATATATATTATATATATATATATATATATATATATATATATATATATATATATATATGCGCAATGCAGAAACTAATGCACGCTGCTTTTATACAAACGGGAATTGTATTTAAGATCGAAAATTGAAGGTTTTGCTAACCTGCGTTTCCTTTCGTCATTGTTATTCATTCATAACACTGCTGTTTTCCACCTGATCGTTGATGATATCCTTCCAATGAATATCAACAAAATACTCTTCCACTGTGAATATCATCTCCCGCAAGCAAAAGGTCACCCCCATTAACTCATGCCTAACGCCTGTGCTCTGATTTCCCGCTCACAGAAGGAGGAGACACAGGACGACTTGGAGATCATCAACGACGCCATCCATATGAACGGCGGCGACGAAGGTAAGGCATTTAGGGGCTTTTACCTGTTTCACAAGCGCCACAATGAACTCCTCGTAACAGCTGGTGTCAGGAACTCTGCAGACAAGCGTAGTTTGTAAATCCATTCCGTTGGAAGTGTGTTTTGCTTAGCCTTCTCTCGAGCGCGTTTTTCCTATTTCAGTACTGTATTGTGATTAGCGCAGGCCCATGCGAATGAGGTTTAAGGCTGCTTTTTATAACTGTAATTCATTACAGTTTAAGTTTATATAAAACTGCACCCCGTATACACGGCCTAATTTGGTAGCATTATTTCTTTATATTGGAAGGCATGTGGGATAGTTTATATGTTTAATAAGTTGTGTTCCCCTGCCGTTGCTTGATGGTCTTCTCTGTTCTATTGTATTATACAATTATAATCATCGTAATAGAACGACAGAGCTTCTCCAACTGCATCACTTAATTAAAAAAAAAAAAAATATGTGAATGTTCACAACAGTAGCAGTACTTGCTATTTTAGATAGCAAACATTTGATTATCAGTTCTTTGCCCCAAAGTTAGTCCAGAGCCAGATCATAACTTCTGCATGGAAACGTTATTCGTGTCAAGGGACTCGCGACGCTCCTTGGTCATGGACTAGTGGTCTCTACGTGCGACTGATGCAAAGTTCATGTCGAACAAATTACAAAGGAACAACGAATAGAAGAACAAGAAAACACACGAATATGCCCAAGGCCTTTTTGCTCCATTGCTTCTGCAGGGCATGCGTTATTATTATTTACCATCGCATCATCTATTGTTATTATAATAATAATATTATCATAATATGATCAGCATCAATGATGTTATTCTAACATTATTGATATTATTATTATTATTATTATTGGGTTGGTGCTTCATGCGCAGGTGATGTGAAGCGATGGTGTGGTACTTTAGTTAGTGTTAAGTGCATGCATGCCTTCTCGCTTGCAGCTGCCACTGCTGGCTAGCCTAATGCGAAAAAGCAGCTCTGCATAAGCCTCCCCCTGACAGTTCACAGCCTCGCTATCATCAAGACCTCGTGGCATCCCATGGAAACTGGGTACCTTGCCATCCCAGGCTAAATTGTGGGGGATCTTGGAACAGCAGGAGGCTCCAGAGGTTCAGGGTCATGGCCCAGGGTGTTTAGACAAGCCCTGGCCGTGTACCAACTCCTGCCCTAAGCCCCCTGGGGTAAATGGAAGGCTCGGAGTAGGTGGGCCTTGCCAATCCTCCGCTCATATATAACCAATCGGCAGTATTCACTATAAATGGAAATGCTGGGATGGGAAAAGTCCTCCCCACACAGCAAGTGAGGCAGACTGTGGGCCCCATTGGGAGGACGACTGCTGGAGCACAGCTTGGGAACGGGAACTCGTCCTGCCTGCGTTCTGGCAGTTGCCAGCCTGGAGTGAAGGTTGTAGAGGGAAGCCATAGGGAACCCACAGGTGGATGATGGGTTCTGCAGCCCTTTTATATGGGTAGCGTCGGCAGGGGTGGCAGAGGTGGCATCCACCCGGCGTGACTGCACGAGGCTAAACCTTAGGTGGGAAGTCAGGGTAGAGGATTGGAACATCCGTTCTTTGCGTCAGGATGATTGGTTGCCTCCACTGTCGAGGGAACTGGGGAGGCTGAGAGTTGAGGTAACTGCTCTCTCGGAGGTGAGAAGACCTGGCAGTGGCATGATCAGTGTAGGTGGGTACACCTATTACTGGTCAGGCCCCAGCGACGATCACCATCTCCAGGAAGTAGCCATAGCCATCTTCAGCAGACTCCAGCTCTCGGTAGTAGAGGTTACACCAGTCAATGAGCGGATAATGGTATTAAGACTGAAGCTAGTAAGTGGCTTCATGTCGATTATTGTTATGTACATTCCTTCCGATGTTTGAAACTCGATGTGAAAGAGATGTTCTATGCCAAACTTGCATCTGTGGCATACAAGATATTTGTATTGTTCTGGGTGACTTCAGTGTGATAGCTGGCTGTGATCAAGCTGGCTATGAGATGTCTCCATGGTTCAGGAGCTGATGCCGGTAGTGAGAATAGCCTCCTTTTTGGGACTTTGTAAGGTCCCAGAAATTGAGGATATCTGGCTCTTGGTACCAGCACTCAGACCCACATCGTTGGACATGGCACAGTGATGCAGGTAATGCAGCCAAGAAGATCGACCACATACTCGTTAGTACTCATTGGAGGATCCTCCAGAACTGCAGGGTGTATAGGTTGTGGCTACCCTACAGGTCCACTTCAAAACTCCCCAGCAGTCCAATGATCACCCTATGGTGTTTCACTTGGACAGGCTAAGGAGAGGGAGTGTGCCCAAGGGTTTACTGAGGCAATCTCTGGTCCTTTCACAGTGCTCGACCCTATACTTCTGTGGGATACCTTGATGAAGCTCAAGAATCGATTGGTGAAAGCCCAAGAGTAATACAGAATTTCATCTCACAGGAGACACTGGAAGCCACAGATGTTTGTTAAGCGGCACGTCTGACCAGGGATCGGGATTTGCCCATTCTCAGGTGTGCAGAACTCGATCACTGTTAAGGGACAAGGAACAGTTTATTTGGAATCTTACAAAGAAGGTAAAAGGCTATTTCTTGGTAAATGACCTTCGTCTTGCATACCAAGCCCTGAGAAAGCTGAACTCCAGGCCCTCTTCACAGGTGACTACAGTTTGCTTAGTAAGTGGCCAGATCATTATCAGATCCTGTTGCGGTGCAGTAACGTTGGGCTGAGTATTTTGAGCAGTTGTACCAGGTTGACCCACCAACAGTTAACTTGGATGTGGGGAGTGCCGAGATTCCGTTGCTGGACCCATGTATCAGTGAGGATGTTCCCTCCCTAACCGAAGTTAGGGGGTGATCTCCAAGCTGTGAAGAGTGGTAAAGCAGTAGGTATTTGCGGCATCCCAGCTGAACTGTTAAAGGCTGGTGGTGAACCTATGGCATGGGAGTTATATGCTGTCCTGGATGCCATCTGGCGGTCCAGTACTGTTCCCCCTGACCTGTTGAGGAGTGGGGGCCGATTGGACTGCAGCAATCACACTGCTCAGTATACCAGGCAAGGTTCTTGCCCACATCCTTCTGAGACATAACAGAGACCACCTACTGAGGCATTAGAGCCCGGATGTAGTTTGCATTCACTCCTGGTAAGTCTGCAATAGACCATATACTGGGCAGAGCTACTGTTCAAAGTCATTGTGGAGCAACTCTGGGCGATATGAGGGTTACTGACCTTGGCTTTGCTGATGCTATTCTGTCCTTGGAAACCTTAGTGGTCGCTGTGGATGCACTTAGTAATAAAGCGAAGCCCTTGGTTCTAGAGGTCTCCTGGACTAAGACCAAGATCCAGGACTTTGGGGACTTGCTAGGAGAACCTATTCAGTTGGTACATGCTTGCGGCGAGGACATTGAAGTCACAGATAGCTTTACATACCTTGGGAGTATAGTTCATAATTCTGGGCTGTCCGACCAGGAAGTCAGCAGACAGATTGGCCTGGCAGCAGGGGTTATGAACTCTCTCGACAAGAGTATTTGGAGATGCCGGTACCTGCACAGAAGGACCAAGCTACAGGTTTTCAAGTCCCTGATAATACCAGTTTTGCTATATGGTAGTGAAACCTGGACAGTGCCTTGGAGTCTTGTCTTGATGCCTTTTGTAACAGGTCCTTGTGCTGGATCATGGGGTACTGTTGGTGGGACCATGTGTCCAACCAATGGTTGCACCGCAAGACTGGCACAGGACCTATTAGCTGC